TATCTATCTATCTATCTATCTATCTATCTATCTATCTATCTATCTATATATCTATCTATCTATCTATCTCTCTATATTACCTTTGTTTATAAATGTTTTCCTCAATACCTTATTTTTGAATTCCTTAAAGAACTTTGTCCTAATGGAGATTTGCTTTAACATACTTCCTCTGTTTTTGCTTTCTTGTGCAACTTTTAGTTTTTAGCTACAGGTCTGCTTTTTTACCTTTTGGCTAACCCTTTTTCTACATTTAGCTTTGACCTAGCCTATTGCTACTTTCATTTTGCTACTGTTTTGCTCCTTTTAGTCTTAGCTCTGTAGTATTTAGCTTATAGTCAGCTTTTATTAACCATTAGCTTTAGCTACAATTCTGCTACTTTAAATTTCCACTAGAATTTTGCTACTTCTAGCTTCAGTTTAGCTACTTTTATTTTTAGCTAACCTGCTGCTTTCAGTCAGCAGTTTCTTACTTTCTGCGTTTAGGTATGTTTTGCTACTTTTAGGGGTTTTTTTTACTACCCTTTTGCTATTTTTAGTTTTTGACTAACATTTTGCAATTTAATATATAGCTAGCTTTATGTTACATTTAGCTTTTAGCTAGTATTTTGCTCTGTTTGTTTTTTTTTATTTTAGCTATCAACTAGTGTTTTTTCTCTTTAGCTTATTGTTTGAATTTTGCTTCATTATTCATTCATCATTTTGAAATTTATTTTATTCTCAAAGATTTTCATTCACTTGGAGTGGCTTCAACAATGTAGAATTACCTGTGGGGGGTTAATTTAGTATTGCTGATCTATTCTATTCTATTCTATTCTATTATATTATATTATATTATATTATATTATACATTTTAATAAATGACTGACTACATTCATTCTGTGTTTAGTTATTGCACATTTACTGTACGTTGGAAGTTATCACACGAGTCAAAATGGGAAAACTGCTTTTTTAACTTTAGGAAAACAGTTATTAGCATGTCCATTAAAACCTGATGAGATAAATTTGGCAAGATTTATTAACCTTTATTGAACCAGACAAATCCCACTGAGATCATAGATCTCTTTTGCAAGGGAGGCCTGGGACTGAAGGCAGACTAACATGCATGCAAGATGTCGACTAACAGTTCACTTGGCACCCTTAGAGTGTTTGTGTTTTACACACGCATTTAAGTAAAAACTAAATTCTGGGCCGTATTCAGATGTTGACGTTTTTTGGACATTGTTTAGTTGACTATAACAAGTTGTGTTACACTGCTCTGACAACATTTTTAATGTTTCTTGTTTTTCCCTAAAGCGGGATGTTTCTCGATACAATCCTTCCATCCAGAGACGACAATGGAGTCCGGCCTGCTATTGGCCAGAGGACCAGACTCAGCAAAGGAGACATTGCACAGGCAAGGAAGCTGTATAGATGTCCAGGTACTGTTAAATTTACTCAGTTCATGTGGTTTGGTTTCAGATTACATTGTGGGGACCAGTTTTGCAAAATATCCTACATTGTGGGGACCAAAGCCTGGTCCCCATAAGGATAAGTCTTGTTGACGGGTTAAGGGTCAGGGTTAGGCTATAGAAAATGAATGAAGGTTAATGCAAAGTCCTCACAAAGTCAGAAAAACAAGACAGCATGTGTGCGTGTGCACGCGTGTATGTGTGTGCTGTCATCAAAGCGAGGAAACAAACAATGACCTTTGATGATTTCTTTTAGTAAATAAGCCCATCATTTACTCTCTAGGGCACAAAAGTGGAGTTGAGTAATTTGTTTTTCCACGTTTCCTCCTGGATGTTGATTCTCAAACACATCTTAGACACACACGCAGTCACACGCAGTCACACACATACACTCCTCTGGACAGTTCTTGTGCACACCCATGTTGTTCTGGTGTTCCTCTGCTCCCATGCGATATATTTTGGCAGGATTTGGATTTGCTCTTACTGAGCTGTACAGTGTTGTAAAGGTTTATGATTGCACTGCTAACTGGCTACCCCCCCCCCCCCCCACACACACACACACACTAATAAATGATATTGAATAGGATTGTGTAAAATCTTATTTTCAAGGTTTGACTGTATGTTTTTTAATTTCTCACCATAGGATGAGCTTAGTTTAAACCTGACACGCATTCCTCGGTCTTTAATTTGTACTTTGTTTATTGTACCTGCGTGTAGTAATAAAATCATCAAAGTGATAATAAAAATAACCTAAATCGACACGATTCAGGAGACAGAGACGTTATTAACATGTCCCATCTGGAAATAGATACAACTTAAATCATAAAGGGTCATATTTGGGCAACAGCACACTCACTGACAGATGAACACAGCCCAAGGGCATTGTGGGGGAAAAAGCACGCATGATGGAACAGGAGGAGCACATTTGGCTAATCTCCTTCTGGGAGGGAGTGACAGCATTAATCTCTAAATGAAAGCGAACGAGAGCAACGTCAGATCATTTTCTGTGGACGTTCATTCAGCTGTTTTAGATTTGTGAGAAATGTGCTGTTTGTGTTGACATCCAATAAATGACCCCACTTCCTGAGAATGTTAAATACTTTTAATTATTAATAATAATCTATGATGGAAGACACGGTGTCAACAAAGTAGCTTCATAAATGCAGAAGTGAGAGTCTAAAAGTAACATTAAACATTTGTTTATTTGTGCCGTAGATTTTTATTAATTAGTTATAGGTTTTCATAAATGTCAGTTAGACAGTTTCCATTTCAGTGATCAAATGTTACTCAAAAACTGGGAGTTACTGTTTCCACAAAATATTCTGTTCTAATTTTTATTTTATTTTTTGTAGTTGAGCAGTTACATAGTGGATTTTGAACAACTAAAGACATAAAGCACATGCTTGTTTTGTTATCTCGCCACCAATAAAAGTGGGTTAATAATGTGATAACCAATGCATGTGTTTGTCTGTTAGAAAAATATCTCATAAACCACCTGAAGAACTGTATTGAAACTACTGGATTGTAATCATTAGATGTATACCTAAAAGTGATTAGCCTTGTGAGTGAACGTGATTTAACATGGCAGACTCAGCTAACTGACCTGATGGAGAAATGGCTCTAACTGTGTGAGTTTCACAGATATTGGGTTAAACCTTGACGTAGTAGTCGGCAAGAGTCATCCCCAGCACACACGCTGAACTCTAACAGATTGTATAAGATCTTTGCAATACGCATTCATTCAAGAAATACAAGTATTTAAGTACCGTACTTGCCGCTGTAAACGTCACATCTACGTCACCGGTGACGCGTCGTGTTTGTTATGTGTCACCACTGATAACCTGGAAATGTGGGTCAGTGTAGTGCCAAAAATCGATGGGCTGCCAGATGATGGCCACGGGAGCGCGAATTTAACAAGATTAACACTTAAAAACAATTATTTGTTTGCTTGAAATTGTAGTAAATGTGTGTCTCAGTTGAACTTTTCCTTTATAAATGCACTTTAATGGTCAAATCAGCTGCATTTCACCTGGATGGGGCGGCAAAATGCAGCTGAGTTGACGGTTGCTCCAGGAGTTTCAGAGAGAGAAGAAGGTGGCTTTTATGGCAAGCCAAGTGCCTCATTAATAGCCACTGTTACCTATTAATGAGACACTTGGCTTGCCATTTTTGTCAAGGGCCCTCTAGTGGCTGAAAATGGTAGTGTTCAATATTTTCCATGTCAGAATGAACAAAATCGTCATATCTCAGCCAAATATTGAGTTATAAACATGGAGGAAAAAAACATAAATACATTGCTTCACTGTACAAGTCACAGGCATGCTAACTTATGCAAAAAACTGCGACTTATACAGCGAAAATTACAGTATTCATATGCCAATGGTAGGTTAAGCTACACAACGGCAAAACTCACCAGAACAAATCGAACTTCATCTTTCTGTTTGTGTGTTTGTGAACTGCAGCATGCGGCGAAACACTCCAAGAGTCGACGGGAAACTTCTCATCTCCTGGTTACCCGAATGGATACCCTTCATACACACACTGTGTCTGGAGAATATCTGTTACACCTGGAGAAAAGGTGCCCCCCCCCCCCCCCCCCTCACACACACACACACACACACACACACACGCATACACACACATGAGCGCACAGTATCCGCTGTATCCTGCAGTGCAGTAAATGTGCAGACACAGCCAATAAAAACAGGAGAGTGCTGACAGAGTGATGGTGCATTGATTAGATCTCAGGACCACAGACAACAAACTCTTTCTCTGCTCTGACTCTATTCGGATCCTCTGTGAAGTGCACACGTTTAGACTGACTATAATAAATGTTTTATTTATATTTTACTTCTCTAGATTGTTCTAAACTTCACCACGATGGATCTGTATAAAAGCAGTCTGTGCTGGTATGACTACATTGAGGTCCGAGACGGATACTGGAGGAAAGCTCCACTGCTTGGTAAGATCAGAACAACACGAGACAAAATTAAATGAAGGATTATCTCCAAATAAACAGGCAGCACAATATCTCTGCCCATCTGCTTCTTCTTTTTTATTGACACTTTAAATATTAATCTAATCTTTTAATAAAAGGAGATTTGTTTAACCATTTTACATTTTATTACTATACTGTCGTGATTAAAACTTGCAAATTTGGAATAAGTTTGAATTTGAAACCGTGAAACTAAATTCCACTGTCTTCTTGACGTATTGAATTATTCTGTTAAAATATGAAAACATTAGCGACTGTAGTTCCGAGTTAAAGTTGATAATTGTACTGAACAGTATTTATAAAAACATACACACACATCACAAACTGCGCTGACATCAATCTGCTGACACGATAGCTGTAAAGACCAGGTTTTACAGCATGCTAAAGTTCCTTTATTGTAATAACAGCACTTAGTTTCATTTAAAATTAATTATAAACTATAGCCTCAGTTGTGGAAAAAGTTGTGACATTTAAAATGCAAATAAAAGTAGAACACAAAACTCATAGACCTATATTTAACCACAGTGGAACATAGTATTTCAAATGTTTAAACAGTTCTTTAGGAAGAAAAAAGGTAATATTGAATCTGATGACAGCAATGCATCTAGAAAAAGACGGGACAGTCATGTTTACTACTATGAAGCATCCCTTTTTCTTTTAATATGAGTTTGTAATCATTTAGGAACGGAGGAGACCTGCTGCTGAATTAGCCCGGTTTTCATTAATGTAGGATTTTAAATCTGACAAGGCTCTTCAGCGGTCCTAGGTCTTTAATACCAAACGTTTTGTTTCGTATGACAAGGTGTTCAGTTGGTGAGAGGTCTGCAATGCAGGCAGGCCAGTTCAGCATCCTGATTCTTTAACTATGAAGCTATGCTGTTGTAATGGATGCAGTTAGCAATTTAGCATTGACTTGCTGAAATATGCAAGGTCTTCCCTGGAATAGATGCAATTTGTCTGGGAGCAAATGCTATTCTAAACCATCTAAAAAAGTTAAATCTAGTCCTCTGGACATTCAAAAAACAAAACAAAGCAAAACAACAAAAAAATGTAGAAACGTTTCGTCTCTCATCCAAGAGACTTCCTCAGTCTGAGGTGCTGTATTCAGCTCAGTCTCTTAAATAGCACCTTCTCAGGGTGGATCAACCAGTTTTGCTGCTGACAACCAAAACCAGCTGATCACATGCTCAAGAAGGACCATCAGCCTAACAATGGATCATTAGCACACTGATGGCTGTTTACTATTCACAGGGGGCTGAATGATGCTAGCAATCACAGCATTGTAAGAGGGGGGCAATTGAACCCGGAGGCCTCCACCCCTGTTTAACGATGGACGATTTCTTTTCACAAAGATGGCCTCCTTTACTCCTCTCTCAAACCATCGTTCCTCTCTGTCCAGGATGTGAACATCTTCATCCCTGAAAGAGTGACAGCTGGCCTGAAGATGAGTGTAGACCGCAGAGTCCTGGCCTGATGATGTTGATCTTCTGTGCTGGGCCATCCTTTTGGACAGTGGCTGTTTTTGTTTATTTTCTAAACATAACGTCCCAGTGGCTTTTAAACCCCAAAATACAGTACGGCAAAGACTGGTTCATCCCAAAGATCCAGTCCCCCGGCACAAACAGAGTAATGTTGTGTATGCTGTTCAGTGTCAGGAGGGCTGTGATCAGTCTTACATCGAGGAAACTAAACAGCCACTGGCCAAAAGGATGGCCCAGCACAGAAGA